AATTAACGGTAAATGAAAATATTAAGAAATATCCGTAGACTTTTTCTGCTTCAAAAATTTCTGCCTTTGCATATAATTGTGTTTAATTTTTTTTAAAGAATGACTGTTAATTTTTTATATTGGAGCTTTATTGGTGTTTCTTTGGCTTAAATAAATCAGAAAGCGAAAATGAATTTGAGTAAATTAAATAAGTTATGCGTAATTTATAAAAAATGTGTATATTAGGTTTATTCAGCTGCTCTGAAGTGGGGCAAAACACCACAAGTTACTTGATTAAGTCTTTAACTGACATTTTGGCACCACGGTTGCAATTTGTTAAATATTATGTTTGAACGATTAACAAGTGTTACGCATGTGCGCAAAATTCAAGGCAATAAAAATCATAAACAACTTTACAGCTAACAAGATAAGAAATTCACAGTGCCTTTTAATCACATTTTCTTCATATATTATCAAATATTTTTGTATATTTTTAATTAGAAATTTTATATATATTTTATTATAGGTGTCCAGTAAAAAACAAGTTACTTGCTTAAAGGTTCAATCAGTCGGTGCGTGATATAGCGTTTACATTCTATATAATGGATCATATAGAATGTGATCCAATTAATCTCATTCACGCTTAAATTTTGCCAAAATTTAACAAAACAAATTGGAAACTCTTTTTGTTCCAAAAACTGCTGTGTCCCAAGCAATTCAGAATAAGGGCCATGTTATGCAGAGTGTCTCGGGCACGGCATGAGTACAATTGTTGTTGTTTTCAATGCAAATTTTAAATTCGAGAATGAGAAAAAATACAATATGGCCGTTCAAACTCCGGCATGAGAGCCGGCGTATTTGTGCCCCGGCACTAAGGCAAAACAGTGTTGTGTAGTAATAGATTTCAAAATTTGCGCCTTTTAGGAGCAAACTACTACAATTCTAATACGCTTTGGAGAAAAAATAGCAGTAAGCAACACAGCCCGTTTTTATAAATCGCTAATAATATAATTATTACACTTTCCTGTTTTAAAGAAAGGCGTAAATACTGTTAAGTACTGTTCATAATTATTGTAAGATAATGTAATAATAAATTAACATTACTACAGCCTCTATGAGTTTTTTCTTACTAGTTATTTTTGATGGCAAATTGAAAGTGAGCCTATCTAAATTTCCTTTTAAATTTAGGCACAACCAAAAAGTATCAAAACATTGTAAAAATACGAAATTGGCAATACTGATGTGACACTCTGCATAACATGCATTTTCGGCATAGCCCGAAAGAGCGTAATTTGCCGTGCCCGAGACACTCTGCATAACATGGCCCTAAGGGAATGTTTTTTTTGGGAATAGCGTGGGAATAGGGACATTTGTTCCCTGGGAGTTATCAGAAATTGCTATAATTGTTTTTTGCATAACTTCAGAGCTTCCGAATATACCCAATATTACACTCAGAGTAAATGGCTTTTCTGTTTTTTGATAGCTATTGTATATTTTCAGGCTTTAAGTAATACGGCGTTTACATTGGCCGAAAATGGCTCATTTTGGTCAAAAATCGAAAATGAGTATCGAATGGCTCATTCTTGCATATAAAATTTCAAGCACAAAAATGAGCAATTTTCGCACATTCTGTGTGAATGACGTTCGAATGCATTCCACATACGTTCCAAATGCAAAGGAATCCATTGAACATACCCTAAATGAAAGCTCTTCATGGCATTTTGACAGTTTGAAAAAGCTGTTTTTAACATATTCACAAAAAAAGGTAAACAAATGTTTGGTGGTTGCATTTTCTTGAAAACGATGCACTGCTGTTTAGAACTTTTACTTCCCAAAAAGTAATTAATCGAAGTTAAAAATATATTTTAAGTTTCTAATGTAAGGTTTGAAGGCATATTTAACCTTCATGCAACATTTTTTTGGCACAGGCCAAAAATCAAATCAACATGCAAGTTGAAAAATAGCTGTTGAAATGAGAACAAATGAAATAGAACGAATGTAAACACTTTCAAATGGCTCATTCAAAATGAGCCATTTTCGGCCAATGTAAACGCCGTATAAACATCATTTGAAAATGATTTGCTTCATTTTCAAATACAATTTTCCGTATTCATTTCAATAAAAAAATTCAATTATTTTCGTTTGACATTTCTGTCTCAAGTGAAATTCAATAAATTTTGTTGAATTTCGAAGTTTCGTTTTTTGAAATGTATTCTTTGGTTTTGCGCATAATGAAGAGCAAAATAGACTTCACGTCAGCTATTTTTCTTTGGTTGCCTGTAAACTCTTTCGTCAGCTGAGTGTATAGTAAATAAATAAAACTAAAACGGTGAATTGCTGTTGCAGACAATCCGTAAACATTTATAATTTATATTAAAAGAGTAAAGCAGAAATGATGATGCCATCAATAAGTACGATTGTGGCCAGTGTTTTTATCGCTTTCATCTGCCATTCTATTTGGATGATGTCCGAACTTTTTACTAAACTTAAGTGCTCTGAGGAGCCGTGCTACATCTCGTTCTTGTCGGGAAAGCCTCGCTTACAATTAGCGCTTTTTACATCAACGAGTTCAAATCCAATTTCAACAGAAGTAACAAAAATTTTCAGCTCAAATAATTTTGATTATTGGCATCCATTTAATCATGATTTTAACCTGGACATTCCACTCAAAACTCGACGAAACGGTACACTTTATATGCAAGTAAATGTTCTCTATTTATGTTTAATTTCCCTGATTATACAATTATTGTTTGTTAAGGTTGTATTAGCTTTGGAGGGTGAACCTTTGGAATGGAAATCTCTTCGTAGGGATGGTCCTACAATTATTCACAGCATGAGAATAACTGAATATATGGTACCTCAAGTAACTGCATTTAATTTGCTTGGTGAACAAGTAAGCTAAAACTTACCTCAACTGCCTCAAAATTTTATTAACATTTAATCTCATTAACAAATAATAGGATCACACAGTGAAAGCAGAAAAATTGGCTAAAGGCAACGCTAACTCATCGCTGAAACCAATCACTCATATTATGCCGAGTGTGCATGTAGCCTTACTTACAGACATATTTTCTTTATCACCAAAAGACGTTGCGCCAGAGATGGCAAATTTAATACATGTTAATCGAAATCGGCAGGTGTTACCGATAATGAAGACTGATTTCTTTAATTCGTATCAAAAAGACCTGGTTAAAGTTACTAAAAATACGACGGAATTTGCTCTTACCTTTCACTTCAAACCCATTGGCATTGGTAAATTACGTTTGTTGTTAATATTTGAACATGCTATGAATATGATGCAATCAATTGGGCTTTCCAAAAGTGACATTGATGATGTCAAAAACATGTTTTCTGATACGAATATGTATTTATTATGTAGTACAATGTTGGTGGCAAGTATACATGTAAGTTTTGCAAATGGAAATGAAAAACGATGTATTTTGTGAACATTTCTTAATTTCAGCTGCTCTTCGACATATTAGCTTTTAAAAATGAAGTTCATTTTTGGCGGAAAAAGGAGTCTTATGAAGGATTGTCTAAACGAACTATTTTGTGGCGTGCATTTTCACAAGTAATTATTTTATTGTATTTGCTAGATGAAAAAACATCGCTTCTCGTACTTTTGCCAGCCGGCACCTCAGTATTACTTGAAATGTGGAAGTGTAAAAAAATATTTAAAATTATTTTAAATTTTAGAGGCATAAGTAGGCAACAATATGAAGACAAGTCCAGTGCAGTTGAAGGGTCTGCCGAAAAAAAAACCGAAGAATTTGATAAAGAAGGCATGAAGTATTTAAGTTATTTATTATATCCACTGTGTATTGGGGGAGCAATATACTCTCTTTTATATCAACCACATAAAAGTTGGTATTCGTGGACACTGCATTCACTTGTGAACGGAGTTTATGCGTTTGGGTTTTTATTTATGTTGCCCCAACTTTTTATAAATTATAAATTGAAATCTGTAGCTGCATTACCTTGGCGTGCGTTCACATATAAAGCATTCAATACCTTCATAGACGATTTCTTCGCTTTTATAATAACTATGCCTACTGCTCATCGGGTTGCATGTTTACGTGATGATGTTGTGTTTCTAATTTATCTTTATCAACGTTGGTTGTATCCAGTTGATAAAAATCGGATTGATTCCGAAATATGTATTGAAAACACAACTGAGACTGAAGTATCATTGAATAATGATGACATAAAGACAAAAAAAGATAAATAAGTACATTCCAATATTTAATTATTATTTTATTTAAGATAAAATATTTATTAATATGGTATATTTCTGATTTAAGAATCCTATGTATGCATAACTATTTATTTCAAGTTCGATATGCAGTTTTTATTTTTTTATATGTAAAATGATGGTCCTTAGTCAAGAATTAAGTGATTCTTACTACAATATAAATGTAATTTGGGAGCTTTCCATATAAAAATAAATCAAATTTTATTTAAACAAAAATTTTGCTCCAAGTTGTTGTTATTGTAGTAGTAACCCACTGGAGTAAGCAAATAAGCAAATAATATGAAAGGATATACAAGACGTTTACATTAAACTTACAGTCAAGCGTTTTAGTTTCGAAGTTATGAGTGAAGTTTAAAAGAAGTCATGTTCCGCCTAATGTCATCATTGCGCATTTGGTCCCGACAAGTGAAGACAGCTATTGAGCGCAGAGTGTGCATTTGAGTCTTTTCATACGATGGCTCACGCTCACGAGCGAGCCCAATTTCAGAGCTCACGCTCGTGAGCAAGAGTGCGAACTGAGGCTCATGAGACCTCATGCGCTGCTTACAAGAAGGTGCTACATTGGGGTGCCATTAAGGTATATGGGCAATTTTTTTTTAGAAAAATTTGTTGACGGCAGCTCCCAGATCGGTTCATTTTACTAAAAAAATAATCTGTGTAAAATTTTAGTTCAATTGGATAAGTGGAAATGGTGCCCCAAAGATTGGAAAATAACGATTTTTTCCATAAAATTCATCTTTGATTGCTTATATCTCCGACATATTTAATTTTACATAGAAACTGTCTTCCTAAAAGTTATAAAATAAACAATTCACTCATACAAAGTTTTTCTGTATATCTGAACAATATAGGGTTTAAACGGTCGCTTTGTCGAATTCCAGAAGCAACGGGCAGCAGAAGCACAATGCACAGTAACATTTTAAAACATATTTCGAATTTGTTGCATCTTCAAAAATACCAAAAATCTCAACATGGATGTACATGCATAATAACAATAATAGTTATATTTCCTCTTAAAGTATAAAAATGTAAATTTTTTAAAATTTACAACAACAACACGTTACTAAAATTTTTATTTTTGTATTCATCTGAGAAAAGACTGTGTTGTATCTAAGTGAGTTTACTAATACATAATCTTCTTTATATAGAGTTTATATTTATAGCTCTATATTTCTATATATTTTTTCTTGTCAGGTCTCTTTAACAATTCATCACAAAATATTGTGAACTTTTGTGTTATAACCTCTGTATTCCGTTTACTTAGCCCGTTCGAAACAATCATCTGCTTATATTATGTATTAATTAAATATTTATTTAAGTTTTATTTTACAAAGATGTACAATGTGTTTATAAATTAAAGCATTTATATCAAATTGAAGTTAGTACATATGACATGAGTCGTATTCACAAATAGCAAGCATTTGTGTCCTTTGGAATAAATTATTAATAATATAATATTTGTCGGAGAATTTAAATGAGAAATGTAAAGCTATAAAAAATTTTAAAGTGAAAAATGAAAATGATTGATAAATAGATTTCGTTCTTATAAGATTATCACGATTATACATATGAGAGAATATTATGATTTAAGTAGTCGAATAAATCTATTTACAAAAAAAATTTAATTTGTTTTAATGAACATTAATCCTATTCCGAAGAGTATTCTGAGGCAATAAGTTAAGCGATACGCTTCTTTCGACTAGGAGACAATATTTTCAGCATAGTAACAACAGGCGCTTCAAATGATATCGAAACAATAAAAGAAAGTAGATATGACGCTACAACTAATCCGAAAAACATCACAACCTGTAAGGAATATAAAAATTTAAGATCTTAATATAAATATTTTCAAATATTGATAATTTTTTTACCATTGTGTCGCCGCCAAGGTGCAGTGGTGCATCTGAATTTAGCGCCATTGATCGTATGACAATTGGGTGCACTAAGTATGCACAATAAGTCACTCTGGAAAAAGGATATAGCCAGGATGCAGATAAAAATGTGTTTATGTAACCTCCGTATCCAGTTGAACACGCTATTGTGATCCAAGCTAGTGATAGTGCCCACGCTGAATGACTTAGCGAACTGTACGCCGCAGCAATAAGTCGAGATAGTTGTGCGCGATAAAGTCCAAATATTAATACAAAAAGATTTAACATTGCTAATATCCATCCCGTAGCTACTGTGAGTTTATGTAAACGCAATTTGCAGTTTGTTCGAAATAGTATCCAACCAACTGCCATACCTATTAAGTAAGGACCCAATCTAGTCCAGGGTTTGTCGTATATTTTGTCGAAAAGTGCTAAGGGGTCGTCGGTATCAGGACGATGATTGTTACTAAATGCAATAACTGCAGTTGTAATCCACGAAGACACCAGAAATACAATTGTGGTGAATGCCGAAAATTTAAAATGACGCACACCAATAATAAGGATCACCACTCCAATAATATAAAACTGTGTATCGTTCGCCAAGTACCAACTCCATAACATGCACTACAATATAACAATATATTATAATAAAAAAAAATTGATATTATTTTACAAACCATATCATCAACAGGAAACAATGTGTTTATATAGAGTAAGTTACGCCACCAATATTGAGGACAAGTAATGTGGTCCATAGTGGGAGGGTCAAAGATGGAGTATGTTGCTAAATATTTCATTGTTACTTGCACTACGCCTAATACAAACATATATGGTGCTGTTAACCTTTTGAAATTAAAATAATATTTAGTTGTTTAATTTATTATTTTATGATAACCTACCTCATAAATCTGTATGCTACCAACCCCATGAAGTGTGCGAATCCTGCGGAAAGCTCATTTTTACCCTGGGTAAGTTTATTTAATTTTCCTTTGGCGTTTGTACGAAAATATAAATACGATATGAGGAAGCCACTGATAAAGAAGAATGTGTCTACACTAAATGGGCCATTAGTTATCGCTTGAAAGAAAAAATTTTGTTCTACTTCCTTCCGCATTCCCATATTATCAGAATACTTAAATACAACGATACAGGTATGCCCCAGGATAACCCACGCCATCGAAAGAGCACGCAGACCATGAATAGAGGGAATTGTATCTGATCCAACATTTCTGTCACAAATTGCGTTAAAATTAGTTACAGTTGAAAACGAAAGTAATATTTCTGAATATACACTAAGTTTTTCAGATTCATGTAAATGGCCTTCTAGATGTTCGTCAGAAGTACTGTTGCTGCCACTCGCCTCTTCTTCTTTGTGTGGTAAGTTTAGAACAATATTTAATTCATTGAGTGATTCCTTCTTAAGAGAGTCATGCGCTATGGAATCACTGTAATCAGACGATGCACAGCCAATGCCAGAAGAAGTTTCGCTGCTGTTCATCATTTCTTTGTCCTGTCGCCGAAGGGCTTCTTTCAGTTTTTGCGTTAAATAGATCTCATAGAATGTGCCAATCAACATAAGGAATCCTACAATCGCCGATACGACACTAAATCGAATTTTTTTGTAAGTATAAAAAATTATAGAAAATTAAAGGATTATACTATGTAAATAATATTGATATATTTGTTTGCTAGAATGAACAGTAGCAACAGAAACATTTACCTATTAAGACACTAAATCCCACTCAATATAAAAGAACAGTGAAGGTTGTCAGTTAAATTAGATCACGTTGTCTAACTAATACCTTTAACTTTTTATCGTTCCCTCGTAACTGACAACATTTATTCTTTTTTAAATTGAGTCAGAATTAGTGTCTCTAGGAATTCATATATCTCATATTAACATCAAAGCATTTTTCTTATTTATAACTAAATGTAATTATAAAATATAATTATATTACATTAATATCCAAAACGTTTTGTCCTCAAAAATGTTAAAATCTCTGTTAGTAGGCAAGCGGACATCTAACACTTGCAGTTCACGAGCTTTTATTTTTGGAGTTCCGTTTTTCATCAATAAACGTACGTCTTCTATCGAACAAGATGAAGGCAAGCATAATCCCATGTAAATAGTTCGAGTCTAAAAAGTGATAATTTTTAATTTTGTTGTCGAAATTCTACTATAAATAGCTTTAAGAGTAATTTATTTGTCTGCTGTGTCATATAGTCAATAAATCAGAGGGTAGATTAAATGTGATAAAAAAATTGTCTAGTATTTATTTGCCATTACAAGCATACACTTCTACAAATTAAGCGATCTCACATAATTTGTTCATCAAGTCGAATATGATTTCTATAAGGAATTTATTTAAGAGCCAAAGATGTTGGCAGTTATCATCAACTATGTTACTTAGGTCTTATATATAACGTATATATACAGATATATATGTTAATGTTTTACTAACGTTTTCAAACTAGTGAGAAGAATAAATACTAATAGTCTAATGACTTTTTATTTTAAAATAAAAGCAAAAGCAATTACATATTACTTTTAACTTCATATTACAATAGGAATGCGTTGTATCGGTTTAGTTTTTGTAGGAGTACCAAAACTGAATCGTAGAATACTTCTATAAACCTTATAACGTGTCCGAAACGACAGAATGTTACAAATATTATATGCCATTAGTCCTACCCTATTAGTTCTAATAATTCACTACCTTCATTAATATTATTTTGATTTGTAAATATTTTCTTTTCTGAAATACGAAGTGGTGATCAAACACATACTTGATATGTCGTCAAATAATCAAGTTAGTAACTTTATTTTTAAGATCGGCAATCTTAGAACCCAGAAACAATAATATACTACATAACTAAAGGCCTTTTCGATGGCTCGCAAGTACGGCAAAAAACAGCAAGTTGTTGGCCTATGCAGGCCTATACTGGCCGCAATGTATGCAAAACAACAACACTATTTTCTCTACCTCGGCCAGCATAGTTATGCTGGCCAACCACATCGGCCAGTAAAAAAAAAAATGTTACCAACGCAATAAGTGAACTATTGTGAACCTTCATTGAAAATTCTAACGAATAGTGCAATCAAATGTCAAAAATTGAGGAAATAAAAATTCAAACAGAATTCAAAAATTTGAAAAATCTTGAAAAGTAACGAAAAAATAATAAGAATGTAGAAATCGTAAGTATTAAGCACATTGAATTTTTTTTATGTTAGTTATTACCAAGTAACATTTATTTTATTTCATTTAATTTGTAGTTTACACGCGTAAAAATTTTTTTTATAAAAATACACGCAAGTAAAACGTTGCTTTCTTCTCTCAACATCGACAGTACCTACAAAAATTTACTTATCTTAGTGTTTTATTTTTAAATTTCCAATATTCTTACCATTCCTTTTAATTCCTTGTTCATTTTAATTTTAAAATATTTTTATAAAAATATATTTGATTTATATGCACATATACAAGATTTGCTGTTTGTCAAAACAAAACCTTTGACAGATTGCAACAGTGATGCCAATAACTCGCGTGGCCAACATAGGCCAACATGCATTTTTTGCCGTACTTGCGAGCCACCGAAAAGGCCTTAAATTAGCCGGTCCGGTTATTTGTATTATATATGAATGCATACAATCACTTACCAAATTTGTGGGATACGTTTCATTCAGAAACATTTTCACAATGTAGAAACTGGGGAAAAACGGCGGATTTTCGTTGAGAATAGTGTTATAAACTTGTGTGTGAGCTTTCGCAAATGGCAGTCCAGAATTTTTCGTGGCATTCGTGGCATCATTTGAAATATTTTCGGTATTTTCATGGTGAATGGATTTACAAAGTGATAACGATCCCATCCAATAATTATTGCCATAAAAGAATCCGGATGTATAGTGTCCAGATGCATCATCCACTATAATATAAACGTATTAAATTAATGTTGTATGATATGAAACATAGTTATGTTTTGATATTCACACCCACTAGTGTTTTCAAACTAGTGAGTGAATAAATACTAATAATCTAATGACTTTTTATTTGAAATTAAATATAATTAAACTGATACAATTTTATTTAATTTAATTTTTGTAAAAATAAGAAATGAACTCTTTTTATTGAATAATATAAAAATAAATCGCCGTTTCTAGGTACTTTTGAACAAATATTTTTTTTATTGAAAATTAATTATAATAAAATTAATAATTCCATCGATGAAGACCTTCTGTGGTTTATAGGCTAAAAGCTTGGCCACCTGATTTTAAGCAGCTTTGCTTTATATGTAATTGCTTTATATTTGGCTGGAAAAACACAAGTGGCTATCGTTCGAGCCCTTCAACTTCTAAATATGAACAAATCATTTGTGTCTCGTGCCATTGCTCAACACCTTAATACTGGTAGCGTTGCTCGACGCCCAGGAAGTGGATCAAAAAACAGTAAAATGAAGAAGCGAATTGAGCGAAACCCACGCCGTAGCTGGAATCAAATGGCAAAGGAGCAGAATATATCGCGAGAAAGGATGCAGCACAGTTTTGAAAAATGAGCTCGAACTAAAGCCAGTGAAGATGAATAAAGTCCATGAACTAACCGATTAACAAAAAAAATTTTAGAGTCGAAAAAGCCAAAGCGTTGTTTCGTTTGCTCGAAGGTTGTGGGTTGCCGAATTTGGTTTTCTCTGATGAGTCACCATTCGTTAGTAAGCACTATTAAGCAGTACATAAACTAGCAAAATGTTCGCGTTTACTTGTTAGAGTGGTCAGCTGAAAGCTGGCGTCACCGATGGTGATGGTGTGAGCCATCATAACGGCCGACGGTCGCTCTCCGTTCGTGTTCACCAACCGTGCGATAAAAATAAATAGCTAAACGTATCGAAAAATTATATTAGAAGGAGCACTTAAGCCCTGAGCAGATAGCAATTCGGTCGGAGGCTTTGGACATTACAAGAGGACTTAGCACTATCGCACAAAGCATGCGGCAATCAAGAATGCCTTAAAAACAACGTTCCGTGCTTTATTCCATCAACACATTGGCCACCTTGTTCACTTGATACAAACCCTTTAGTTTTCTTGGTTTGGGGTATTTTAAAAAGAAAGTTTAGCACTAAAAAATATCAAAATATAGATTGTCTGAAGCAAGCGCTAAGCCGAGAATGGACCAAAATTCCCGAAAATCACTTGTATGTATTTTTAACTTTCGACTTGCGTCTGATAGCAACTGCAGAACAGTTTGTAGATAATGCTTCGTTCATCGCTTGAGAATACTAATATGTCACCAATTTAGTAAAATACAAAAGGTTAACCTTGAAAAATTTAATAGAAATAAGATTGAAATATCTATAATTCTATAATTCGATTATTACTATTACAAACTTAAACAGCTCTAATAGTTTGCTGCTAACAGTTTTTGAAATGTCATCTGGATTTTTCAAAAAATATATTGATTTATAGGTATTTTATTTGATATAAAATACCGTACAAATATTTTTTTGTTTAATTAAATATTTAAGTTTAATTAATTTATTTGCAACCTACCAAAAACAAAAAAAAATGCATTAGTGCTAACTATGCTAACAAATGCATACAAATACTGTACAGTTACAATGAAATCATAAAGTTTAATATATAATATATGATATTATATATTCTGTGCAGTTAACTTCTACTATACTTGGTAGTTCAGTTGTGGTGATTTCTTGAGTCTCCTAAGTTCTCGTTCGTTTTTACTAAGTTGTTTGGCGAAAATATTTGGGTAAGTTAGGAATTTTGCGCTGTACTTTGCATGGAAGAACATCCATCACTCATCACTCATCGTATATTAAGATCACGATGAATTTTATTATTGCTGACGAACCATGGTGCATTCCATATCATGAGGAATACCGTTGCTTGAAATCTTTGAGTGATTTTGATAACACTTTTTCCACCTGGATCCAACAATTGGATTCTGTACAGCAGCTGTAAAGCAGCTGCTTATATTTGACTTTTTTAAACTCAGGGATTTTCTTTTTGTTTTACCTGTTAGTTTTCGACCGAGATGTATTCCTAGATATTAAGTTGTATCTACTTATGGAATGGGGTTGTTGTTAAATATAATAACAGTGCAAATTGTGTTTTTGAGGGCAAGGTTACGTGCAATGATTTATATTCGTTAGCCATTTCTCCATTCATTTCTGCCAGGGACCATAACAATTGTCATTAAAAAAATAATAATCAACTAAAAACTCTTATCATTCGCATTTTAAAATAAAACTCAAAAAATAATAATTTAATTTGCTTTACACTATATTTTTCAAAATAATTATTATTATGTGCCTTTTATTTTTCCACGCACTAATAACTCTTACACTCTGCTTATTATTTTCAAGCGCACAAATAACTGTTATTTTTGCCTTAAAAATATAAAAATCAGAAATAACTCTTATTTTTTAGAACAAAATATTACTCACACGTCGTGCCTGAGTATAAGAAATGTTTTTGTAATTTCATACAAAAGGTTTTTGAAATAACTGTTACATTTGGTCCATATTTCTGCATTTCCTGAGATCTGCTTGTAGATATTCTGAGGCAAGTATTATGTAACGAGAGTAGGGTCATACATTAAAAAGAGAATTAAAACAAAAAAACGCGGTTTTTTTTTGGGAACGGTTATTCGGCCAACAATAAAAGGAGTTACATAATATTTATTAACCAACAAGAAGTAGTTCTATTATCGGAGAATTGTGA